CTCTAAGGACTGCTTTCAATGTGTCCCAGAGGTTTTGTTGTGTTGTATTGTCCTTTTTGTTTAGTTCCAGGAATACTTTTATTTCTTTCTTTATTTCTCCTTACTTCTGGTGTTCAAGTTTTATTGCATTGGAATTATTTCAATCTTTTTGTATTTGTTGTGGTTTGTTTTGTGCCCCAGTATAAGGTCGATTTTGAACAAGATTCCACGGGGTGCTGAATAGAAAGCGTATTCTTTGATGCTTGGGTGGAATATTCAGTAGATATCTGTTAGGTCCATTTGATATATCGTAATTTTTAATTCTGATATCTCTCTGTTAATTCTCTGTCCTGTTGACCTATCTAATGGTGACAGTGTGGTACTGAAGTTCCCTACTGTTAATGAGTTGGGATTAATCTGGGTATTAAAGTCCTGTAGTATTGTTTTTATGAAGTTGGGTGCACCAGAGTTTGGTGAATATATGTTCATGATTGTAATATCTTCTTGGCTTATTGTTCCCTTGATCAGAATGAAGTGGCCCTCTTTATCTCTTCTGATTAGTTTAATTTAAAGTCTATTTTGTCAGATATTAGAATTGCAACACCTGCTTTTTTCTTCTTTCTTTAAAATTTTATCATTTTTATTTTATGTGTATGTGTGTATTGCCTGCATGTAGGTAAGTGCGTGTGTGTTATGCAATGCCCGTGGAGGTCAGAAGAGGCTGTTGGATCCCCTGGGACTCGAGTTCATGACAGTTGTTAGCTGCCATGTGGGTGCTGGGATTCAAAACCGGGTCTTCTGCAAGAACAGTCAGTGTTCTTAACTGCTGAGCCATCTCTCCAGCCCCCTGCTTTTGTCTTGATACCATTCGCTTGATACATTTTTTTTCATCCTTTCACCAATGTTTTCTTCTAACAGTTTCAGAGTTTCAGGCTTCACATTGAGGTCTTTGATCCACCTGGAGTTGACTTTTGTACAAGGTGAAAGATAGGGGTTTAGTTTCATTCTTCTACAGGTGGAGATCCAGTTTTGGGGTGCTGTGTTTTTAACCACTAAGCTATTTCTCCAGCCCCCATTCCTAAGGTTTTAAAGACTTGGTGGAGAAGTCAGATCTACTGGATGTGAAACCTTAGTTCCATAGCTTACATGAGGTCAGTGTAAGTTTGTAACTAGCAATTGACATTATGACAGCTACCGCTTAGGGACACTGACTTAGCAGTGTGTACAGTGTGAGTACAAGCAGCCTGTCAACCTGGAATCCTCATCTGTAGCTTCTGTGCGCTTGACTGACCAATGGAACTGTGGGTTGTACATAGAAATGCCTTTGGCACAATGTCAGCTCTGAATCTTGGCCCCTTCCTTATATAACAGCAATTGCCTCCTCTTAGATCTCTCCTGTTCTCCTGACTCTCCCCTTGCTCATGATGCTCCCACCGGAGACGGCCTACACACCCGTTCATAATGCTCCCACCAGAGACAGCCTACACCAGCTCCTCTGTGCCCGTAACCTGGGTGTTCTGCCATCTCTGGTACAAGCCTCAGTTCTCCAGGAGCCAACCTCAATGACCTCCTCAAGGTTACTTTAGGCCACTCCCTGGCATGTGTCTTCTGTCCTCTTCAGCACACTGTGCCCTCACCCATACCTGTGACTTACACAGGCTGTCTCCTTCTAGAAAGCCCCTCCACAATTTCTGTACTTGATAAGAAAAATTCAAATGGCACCTTTTTTTCTGAAGCTCTCCCAGGGAAAGATACCAATGGGGCATGCTTTAGATGCTGTTGTGTTTCTAGAACTTACCAGTGTCAGATATAGGACTGAGCTGTCTTAGAAATGGAAGTTTTAAAAAATTATTTACAAAAGATGGATATTACTGTTGCACTTTTAGAAAAGTTAAAATAATACAATATGTGATAAAAATAAAGACTGTATTCTCCTGCAGTACTTAGACATAATCACCACTAATTCCAATTTTTAAATACACTGCACTCTTTTAAAATCTATTCTTTGAGAATTTTGTAGTCATAGACTGGATTTTGATCATATTTATGGCCACTCACTTCTCCCCTAACTCATCCCAGATCTACCTCTCCCTACCCCCAACTTCATGTTCTCCTTCTTTTTTTTTTTTTATAACCCATTAGTTGAAATTTGTGTTGTCCATATTCTCTTGGGTGTGGAGGAGGGTGGTCAACCACACACACTTAAAACTGACTTTCTGTTTCCCAGAAGCCATCAACTACCCATAATTCCTCAGCAGGGGTCTAGTAAATCCCTGCCCCCACCATGCTACAATATTGACTGGCCTGATCTTATGTAGGTTTGCCTAGGGAAACAGCTTCAGTGAGTTCATAATTCCATACTCTTTTGAATGCATAGGTACCCATGAATATGCATGGGGGGTTGTTTTCTCTACGTTCCTCCCTCCCTCCCTCCCTCCCTCCTTCCTTCCTTCTTTCCTTTTTTAATTAAAAATAAACTTTAAACAGGATATCCCTGTAGCCCTAACTTGCCTGGAGCTCACTATGTAGATCGGGCTGGCCTCCATCTCAAGATCCAACTGCCTCTGCCTCCCAAGTGCTGGGACCAAAGGCATGTGCCACCTTGCCTCGTGGAAGTTGTTTTCTTAACTCAGGTCTTATTAAGCAAAGAAAGCAAATTAAGAGATTAAAAATACACTCAAAGATAAGAAAAAGTATTTATGGAGGTAGAAAAGAAACTGCAGGAAGTAAGTATACAGGGCTGGGAGGAGGCCTTAGTCAGTAAACTGCTTTTCCTGCAAGCAGGAAGGCATGAGTTTGGGTAAAAGTGTCAGGCATGGCAGCATTTGTGTATAAGCCCAGTTCTAGGGATGTGGACATAGGCTGTTTCTGTGGCTTCAAAGGGCCAATGTTCAAAGTGAAGGAAGGCAGCAGACTCTCAGCTCAGTATCACACAGGTAAGAAGTTGCTGTACTTAACAGAAACAATTACAGATACGCAACAGAATAAAGGCTATTCTGGGAGACAGTTACCTGTGAAGCTATTTCAATTCTGAGACATGGCATCTAGCCTAAGCTGGCCTGGAACTTACTCTGTAGCCAAGGACAGCCTTGAACTTCTCATCTTCCTACCTCCACTTTACTAGTGCGGGAATTACCGGGGAGCACGAACATGACAGGTTTATGCAGTACGAGAGGTGGGGATAGAATCAGGGGGCTTCCTGTATGCTAGGTAGGGACTGTATCAACTGAGCTACAGCCCTAGCCCTTAAGTTAAACACATTTAACGGCTGGAAGAGCCCCTAGACAACTTTAGCTTTTCCTAATTCTTTTTTTTTTTTTTTTTTTTGGTCTTTTGAGACAGGGTCTCCCTGTAGCCCCAGCTGTCCTGGAACTCACTATGTAGACCAGGCTGGCCTTGAACTCACAGAGATCCGCCTGCCTCTGCCTCCCGATTAAAGGTGTGCACCACCATGCCCAGGCAGATTTTCCTAATCTTTTTCATGCCATTGCATAAAAAAAAAAAAGCAAAAAAAAAAACCAAACAGGTTTTGTAGGACACAAATCACAAATGTACAGCACAGCCATCAAAAGCAAGGTGTCCTTGTCACACAATCTTAGAGCTGTGGCTGGGCGACTCACCTGGGTCCACAGCATCTGCAGAGGGAACACAGTGGTGAGGGGTCTGACATTCCCTGCCCAGATGTTAAAATGATAGTATTTTTAAAAATATTGTATTTATTATTTTATGTATATGAGCGCATTGCCTGTATGTATGTAAGTGCACTCATGTTGTGCGAGGTCAGAAGAGGGTGTCAGATTCCCCTGGAACTGGAGTTGCTGACAGTTGTTAGCCTCCACGTGGGTGCTAGAAATCAAACCCAGGTCCAGTGCAAGAGCAGCCAGTGCTCTTAACTGCTGAGCCCTCTCTCCAGCCCCTGCTCTTTTTTAACCACAGGGTCTTACTTGTCCAAGGCTAGCTACTGGAACCATGTAGCTGAGGATGACTCTGAACTGATCCTACCTCCACCTCCTTGAGTGCTGGTTGGGATTACAGGCCTACACCAACACACCCTTCTTTTTTAAAAATTAATTTTCATTACATTTATATAGCGCATAAGTGTGCAGGTCAGAGGACAACATGAGGTTTATTCTGTTTACTCTGTCCTTCCATCAAGCCGGTTCCAGGGACTGAACTACCTTCACCAGGCTGGGCAGCTAGCACCCTTCCACACTGAATCATCTCCCCAGCCCACTTTTAAAAATTAACTTGTAGGGTCTGGAGAGATGGCACAGCGGTTAAGAGAGCTTACTGCTCTTGTAGAGGGCCCGGGTTCGATTCCCAGCACCTACATGGTGGCTATGAACCATCCATAACTCCAGTTCCAGATGATCACGCTCTCTTCTGACCTCCACAGGCATTGCACAACATGGGTGCACTTACATACATGCAGGCAATGCACTCGTACACATAAAATAAAAAAAAGTAAAATATAAGCCGGGCGTGGTAGCGCACGCCTTTAATCCCAGAACTCGGGAGGCAGAGGCAGGCGGATCTCTGTGAGTTCAAGGCCAGCCTGGTCTACATAGTGAGTTCCAGGACAGCTGGGGCTACAAAGAGACCCTGTCTCAAAAAGACAAAAAATGTAAAATATTTAAAAATTAACTTATACGAGATAAGGAGAAAGGCCAAGTGACGGGTGTCAGCACCCTCTCCATCTCGCCTGCGCTCCCCCAGAACACTGGGATCTGAGGTACTAGGTGCTAGGTCCTTCGCTCCGCCCAGTTCCAGGGAGAGGCGGGCCCTGCGGGAGGACGGGCGGCGCTGACCTGTGACGTCGCCCAGGCTCTGTGACGCACGCCGACCCGCCAGCTTCACGCCAGAGCCGGCGGGCCACCCCGCCAAGCCGCACCGGCCTCCAAGCGGCGCTGGGGAACACACGCGCGGGTCGGCGGCCGGGCGGCTCAGCATCGCCCCCTCCAGGCTAGACCTCCGCCGCTCCGCCCCGCCCCGCCCCGGAAGGCGCCGCGGTCCACCTGCCCGCGACCGGAAGTCTGCCTTCCCGCCGTGCCCTGCGCCCCGGCCTACCTCGCGTGCTGCGCTCTTCGGCCAGCGCCCTGGTGCGCGCGAAGGCCGCGGTCGGCGAGCGGGACTCGGCCGGCGGGATGGCGCTCCTCCGCGGGGTGTGGTGTGCGGTGCGGACGTTCGGACGCTCGGGGGTCGAGCTGTGCGCCGGCTGCGGGGGCCACGGGCACTCGCCCTTCAGGTAGGCCGCGGGGCGGGGCTGCGGGCGGGTCCGGCTGGGTCCCCTGTGTCCGCTCGCGCGTGTCCGTGCCCCGCGCCTACTCCACTTCCTGTCGCTTCCCTCCGGTTGTCCGGGAGGCGGGGTCGGGACTTGCGGCGCGAAAGCCGTCTCCACGATGCCAGGGCCGAGCCCAGCCCGCGGCCCTTCACTTGTTTTAGAGACCTGGATGAGACTGCCGAGTTCCGTTGACAGCCCCTGCTTCCTCTCATGTAGGGCAGGATTTTAAATAAGTCCTAATACCTGGGGATGTAGCTAGGTGGGGGTGTTGCTGGGTGGGGGTGTAGCTAGGAGGGGATGTACCCAGGTGGTGAGGTTTTTGGATTCAATCCCTAGCATTACGGAGGAAGGAAGTCACCCCAAAGTTTCTGGCATTCTTGCTGGGTGTCACATAGGTAGCATTGTGGATGTCATTTATTTATAATCTGAGTTCCTGTGTGTGTGACATTTATAATCTGAGTTCCTGTGTGTATGACATTGGCAGTTAAATGCCTGATGTTTGCTTTTGTTTTTATTCGTATGTAGTTTTGTCTGTATTCCAAAATTTTTTTCATCCAACGTGGGCAATTATCCAAAGAAACCTATGAGTTCATACCTTCGATTTTCCACACAACAGCTACCCATATTTAAAGCTAAACATCCAGGTAAGGAATCCGGGGCCTTATACCTGTCTTTGATGGAATTTTTAAAAGAAAAATATCAACTGCAAACTTGATTTGTGCTTTCCAAGCATCCGGTGATTGCTTAGACAGTCCTGTGTGACTGTTTCCATAACATTTTGTGACAAATAGAAATGCTTCAAGTATGAATGAAATCCAAGGACAACAGTTTTAACAGCTATGGAGAGCACAGTTCAGTTTGCAGCCTAGTTGCCTGGGCATGGGGAACCCTGACCAGCTCACTAACTCCTGCTTAGTGGTAGATTCTGCTGTAGGGTATTGTTTGTAAAGGGGCAAAAGCTATGAACAGATCACTGCTAATACCACTGGAAATCATCTCTGAGTTCCTTAAAAAAGATGTGCAGGCAGGAAAGATATCCCTGTAGACCTGGAAAGGCTTGTGGGTCTTTCATTTAGGGATATACAGTTGATGGCTGAATTATTGTAAGTTAATTTTTGCCTAGATTTCCATAGCCCTTTTCAAATATAATTCCTCAAGACACTTGTGGAAATCAGTAAATGTGCTCACATTCTAGACGAGTTAGAGAGGGGCTTAAGTACTTTGAACATATTAGACTTGGGACTAACAGGCAGTTGATAATCAGTTGTGTCCCGTCGCTGTAGTTTAGACAGGGAGGAAGTGGAGATCCTAATGGTACATAAGATGAGGTAGTTTATGGCTTACTGTGGGCTTACTCAGTAACTCCTGAAAGACAGGAGAAGTGTTTCATTTGAAACACGAAAGAAACTTGAAGCAGGTGCTTAAACTCATAGTTTCCTAGAATGATTTTTGGCACTGATGTACCCTTGGTTATTAGAGTCTTCTTACATTTCTGGATTTTAAAAGGCTGTATCAGTGTGACATAGAGGTGTGTGTCACTTGCCTTTACAGCCAAAAGGTTGTTTTATAAGTTTGTAGACATTAACTGTAAGAGAAAATCAGTAATCCATTTTCATTCTGTTTCAATGCATAGATGCAAAACTTTCAGAGCTGACTAAAAAAATTGCGGCAGTGTGGCGGGAACTCCCTGATTCAGAGAAGAAAGTAAGTGTGCACGGTTCCAACGCCGCTGAGTGTTAGAGACAGTGGTCCTGTGTATGAAAGGCCAGACGGCTCACACTTCTCTTTGTGTGTGTGTGTGCGTGCGTGTGTGTGCGTGGTGTGTGTGTGTGTGTGTTTCAAAAACTACGGGGTGTGTGTGCGCGCGCACGCTCATGTTCGGTGCATGTGGAGGCTAGAGCTGGTACCACTTGTCTTCCTCCTTCCTCTCCTGCTCTGCACTTTGTGTTTTGAGACACGGTCTCTAGAGGCCTGTGTCCAGAGTTGGTGTGTTGGCTAGATTGCCTGGCAGTGAACTCTAGGGACCCACCCGGCTCTTCCCCCAGCTAGATCTATACTCACCAGCAAGTCTGGCTTTTTACTTGGATGCTAGGGAGGAACTAAGGTCCTGCGGTGTGTAGCAGATTCTTCCTGACTGAGCCTTCCTAGCCCTGTCTTCTTTTAATATCCACTGTCCACACAGGAGCTCTGCACCATTGATCCGTAAAGGATGAGGCTGTGATGGGGCATCGAGGTGGTGGGGGGTGGAGTGAGTGGTTAGCAGGTCTGCAAAGGGAGACCAGTTGCAGTTCTCCCACCTTGGCAGCAAGCATGTGGAATGTTTTAAGTGGTGGCTTTGCCGGTGCGCTGTGTAGAGGGACAGCCAGGCGTTTCTTTCCTCCAGGAAGCAGTTTATTGTGCTCGCACCTGGCTCCATGAGACAGTTCTCAGAAGCAGAGCCTTGAACAAAGACCCAGCCCTGTCCGCCCTCTGTTAGTTTCTCTTTACACTTCACTTTCTTTGTCTTAGATCCTGATTGGGTGTGCAGAGCTGCAGGGTCACTCCAGGCAGAGCTGCAGGGTCACTCCAGGCAGAGCTGCAGGGTCACTCCAGGCAGAGCTGTGTACTACACTCAGCCACAGACCATACTGAGTTCTTTGTCCTGGGGGCTCCTGTCACAGTGTTAATCTATCTGAAGGGGCTCCTGTCACAGTGTTCCATCTGTTGAAGCTATACCTCTGCTTCTGTGGCACGTGTGATACTTTGAACTTGCTCAATTTATTGGCTCTTTACTTTCAGGTGTATGAAGATGATTTTAAAGCAGATTGGAAGGCTTACAAAGAAGCTGTGATCAGATTTAGAGACAGACTAACTCCAAGTCAGCTGACAACTTTTGAAAGAGAAATCAGGCAAAAACGTTTAAAAAAGAAAGCATTAATTAAAAGGAGAGTGAGTATTATGGAAATACTGTTTTTCTATGAAAAAGAATTGACAGAAGCACAAATGTAGGGAGTCCCTGTATGGATGGAGTAGAGCTAATGTGGTAGGAGACCTGAGGACTCCAGCCAGGGCCTGAGGTCCTGCCTTCTCCCACACTGAGGCTTGCTGTGAGTTGAATTAGGCGGGGCTTGTCTAGAGTGACTTTTGACAATGGATTGTTTACAGAGGGTTGTGTTTGCTGCTGAATGTTGCTGAGCAGACTTGAATTTGTTCATTAACACATCAAAGGAGAGTGCCAATTTACTCAAGCAAGTCAGCAGCTTTGGGGTCGAATTCTGTTTTTCTCCAAAGAAATAGCTTTTTTTTTTTTTTTTTTTTTTTTTTTTTTGGTCTTTTTGAGACAGGGTCTCTGTGTAGCCCCAGCTGTCCTGGAACTCACTATGTAGACCAGGCTGGCCTTGAACTCACAGAGATCATCCTGCTTCTGCCTCCCGAGTGCTTTTAAAACAAAAAAAACCCAAAACATTTGCATGAGTAGAAGTTTTAATTTCCCAGCTTAAGATGTATGTTCGCCTCAAGGCTACTGTTTTAGACTACATTTTTCTTTATTTGGGGATGATCTGTTACAGTCTCTGTAATCAAACCCACATAGATCGAACCTTGCAGTCAGGGTTTGGGTGATGGCTTGGTGCATAAAGTGTTTGCTGTGCAAATGTGGGACCTGAGTTGGGTCCCTAGAACCCCTGTACAGAGAGCCCAATGCCGTATGTAGTACATTCTTCCCTAGTCCTGCTCTGAGAGGAGGCAAAGAGAATTCCTGGCCCATATGTGGACCAGCAGCTTCTGGACTGCAGGTGGCAGGAAACAAAATGCTGGCTCCGTCAAAGTGGGAGGTGAGGACCAGCACCCAGAGTCGTCTCTGACCACCGTGTGCCATGGCACGTGTGTGCATGTGCATGCAGACTCCTGGTGAGCCAGGTGATTCAGAGATCAAAGGAGAACAGGGAACAGGAAGTCCACGTGCGGCAGTTAGTAGAGGCGTCCCAGCCAGGACTAGAGATGGAAAGGTAGTAACTTTTGGTTACAGTAAGTTTTAAAAAGTGTGACTGAAGTCTGCTAGTTCTGCCCTCACTGACTCAGATACAGGAAGAAGTGATGGCCTCGTGGGATCAGGGCGTCGGGCCAGATGCCAAGAACCACACAATTTCACATACTTAAAATTTTATTTGACTTTGTTGTGGGGTTTTTTTTTGTCTTTTTGAGATAGGGTCTCCTTCCAGCCCCAGCTGGCCTGGAATTCACTATGTAGACCAGGCTGGCCTGGAACTTATGGACATCCCGCCTGCCTCTGTCTCTCAAATGCTGAGATTAAAGGTGTGCATCACCACGGCAGGCCTTTAATATACATTGTTTCCTTTGGGGATTTCATACCTGTGTACCATACTTTTGGATCCTACCTGCTCTCTACTCCTCCTCCAACTCCTCCCAGACGTGCTCCCACTTTCTTTTTCTAGTTCTAGTCTTGTGCCGGACCTGGGGAGAGAAGCACAGGTGTGGCAGCAGAGGTCAGCTTCATGGAGCTGATTCTCTGCTTCCACCTTTAACCTGGGCTCCAGGATCAGCCCACTAGTCTTGTGCAGCACCTTTATTCGAGAGCCACCTTGCAAATCTCAGCATTTTATAAGTTCAGCTTGTCCTGTTCTCCAAACCCGCAAAGGAGGCAGGATGATGCACGGTCTGTCTCTCTGGGTTGTGGAGCTGAGTAGTTATGTAGCAGGGGATGCTTTAGGAAATTGAACACATCTTTTGAACTTCAGATGCTGAGACACTCAGGGAAGGAATGGGATGAGGTGGTTGAGCAGCTAGCTGTGGGTACAGTGGAGGTGTGTGCTGGCTGTGTCAGGGTGAAGGTAGAGATGTGGAGATGACCTGGGATTTTGTGTGTGAGCTACTCAGCTCATGGAAGCTACATGGAAGTCAGTTATGAAGGAAATACCAGTCTGGACAGGAGATTATTCATCGGCTGGACTGTAATTTTTACAACCTGACATTTAAAAATATTTTGACTTCCAAGATGTAACACATACTTCATATAAAAATCATAATAGCAGGCCGGGTGTGGTGGTACACGCCTTTAATCCCAGCACTTGGGAGGCAGAAGTAGGCGGATCTCTGAGTTCAAGGCCAGTTAGACAGGACAGCTGGGGCTACAGGGAGACCCTGTCTCAAAAAGACCAAAAAAAAAAAAAAAAATCATAATAGCATTAGTGTAATCTGGGCATTCAGGAGCTAGAGGCAGGAAGATTGCTGTGAGTTGGGAGGCCAACCTGATTACATAGGGAATTCCAGACCTGCCAGGTCTACATAGCAAGCCCCTCTGTTTTCAAGTCTCAAGAAAACAATCCCCATACCGACTTGAATTCTGCAGTGTATAGCACTTAATTGTCTGTCGCTGACATTAGGCTTCTTTGTTTTTGTCATTCAGGAGTTAGTAATGCTTGGAAAACCAAAAAGACCTCGCTCAGCTTACAACATCTATGTATCTGAAAGCTTCCAAGTAGCTAAAGATGAATCTGCTCAGGTAAACAGCTACATTTGTTCCTTAAGAGTTTAATTTAAAATGACTTAGGAAACTGTAGGTGTGTCATATGTCACATGATGCACAGTAGTGACTGACAGCTCCTTGGAGCTGGGGATGTAGTTCACTGGCAGAACCCACTGGACATGTGTGAGGCATGCCCCAGAAAAGAGGCCTGGAAAAGGTCTTGTTACGTCCCACAATTGAGCACGTAGTAACCACCACATACATACTTTGTTAACTTTAAAATATTTTTTAATTAATTTTTGAAGTTGGTGTCCTGGTTTGCTTCTCCATTGCTGTGATAAAACACTCTGACCAATACCAACTTGGGGAGGAAAGAGTTTATTCAGCTGACATCTCCCAGGTCTCAGTTCATCAGGGAGCCCAAGGTAGGAACTCAGGGCAGGAACCTGGAGGCAGGAGCTGGAGCACAGGCCATGGAGGAACGCTGCTTACTGGCTTGCTCCCTTGGCCCCTGCTCAGCCTGTTTTCTTATGCAACACAGGCCCACCTTCCCAGGGGTGGCACCACCCACAGTGAGCTGGGCCCTCCCACATCACTCAGTCAAGCAGGTGACACTAAAGCATCCAGCACAGTTGGTGTGCAAAATAATGATTTGTTGTAAGATTTTCATCCCTTGTGAATCATTGTTCTTCACTATTTACCCTCATCACCGTCCACCATCCCTTCCCTTCGGATGGTCCCCATTTTCCTCCCCAAAGTCCTCCACTGTTCTCGCCTCACGTGTGCACACTGGTTGCACTCTCACACCTGGAGAATCAGACACTCTTAGGTCAGTTTGGAAGAGGCTGTTCACTGCTTGCCTTGTTCCCTGTTCTGGAAGCATGTTGCAGCAAGCACCTTGGTAGTTCCTGTGGTGCTGATCCCGGGTCTCTAGCGTCCTTATTTACATGATTTCTTGAAGTTTTTCACTTATAAACATTCCCCACCTTAACATTTTAAACATGACCTCAACTGCTTAAACATTACTGCCTCTCAGTATACTTCATGTTACTTCTGTTTAGGTCAGGACTAATTAGATCGTGATTACAAAGGCCTTCTTCAGAGCTGGGCTGCACCTGTCCTATAATTTTATTTCTCATAAAACTTACTTGGCCAGAGTTGTTTATGCCCTGCTGTTTGCATTCGGGGGCTTGTGTCATGAGCCTCAAGCTCTGGTGCCTACCAGCTCTAGTACATTTACGTGTGTGGGTAATCTTCACTTCAGTGTGATGCACCTGGCTTGTCCAGCTCGGCTGCTGCCTTCTCTGTTCAGCATCCAGCTAGCATCCTGGACTTTTCCTTCATCACCATCCTGTGTCTTCCTTGATTTATTACCGTTCTCGTATAACATTTTCCTTAATGTGTGAGAGATTACTATCCAAGTTTAACATGTCTCAAAACTGTCTTTGCCCCTGCATTTATTAGTGTGTGGATTTCTAAATTGAAAATCATATTTCTTCAGAAATTTCAGAAGTATTGCTTCTTATCCAGAACACTGTATTGTTCTTGAGAAACACAAGCTTGATGGCATGTGCCTGTAATCCCAGCCTGTGGGAGGGACCAGGGGGTCATGAGAGTGAGGCCATCCGAGGCTGTGTGATGGGAACCTGTCTCAGAAAACTATAGATTGAAAGATAAAACCTAGGCTGGCGAGATAGCTTAGCAGGTAAAGGCATGTGCCACCAAGCCTGACAACCTGACCCACATGGTGGAAGGAGAGAACTGGCTCCTGCAAGTTGGCCTGACTTTCCCAGGTGCGGAGTCAGTGAATTCGGCGTTGGGTGCACTGCGCGGCTCTGCCTGGCCTGTGTGCTGCTCTTGGTCTTGTCCCCATGCAGCTCAGGAGGGAGCAGAGCTGAGCCACATTTGCTTCCCATTACTTTCATAGACAATCACAGCCCAGGGAGGTAGAGTGCCTTCTCCGAGTGAGTGGAGTGAAGAGCCCCCACTGGGCACAGTTCAGAATGGAGCAGAGCTGTGGGCAGGAAGAATAGCCTGTGACTATGCTTATCACGGCGTAGAAACGACCTGAGTACCAACAAGCTTCTGTCGGCATTGGCAGTGTAATAGAAACAGAAGTTATAATTTATGCAGTGTGGCCTGTTATTGACAGTTGAGTTTTGCTAGAATGAATAATAAAATATTTTTCTCTGATCACTGAATTCTTATAGACATGTCACACTTAAATCTATGCTGTTTTTCAGGAAAAGCTGAAATCTGTAAATAAAGCCTGGAAAAATATGTCTCTTGCTCAGAAGCAAGTAAGTATCAAGCGGTGGTGTTGTTTTTTAAGACAGCATCTCTCTGTAGTCCCAGCTGACCTGGAACTCAGTACGTAGCCCAGGCTGGCCTTGATCTCACAGAGATCTGCCTATCTCTGCCTCCTGAGTGCTGGGTGAAAGGCCTGCACCACCACGCCAGCTGTTTCTGGTTTGCAGTGTCCACCTAGAACATCTCAGAGAACATATTAGGGCGAGGCTTCGTTGATGCGAAGTTGGCTTGGTATTACCACCGATAGCGTTAATGGGTTCTTTCATCCTCTACCATTGGGCTTTTTTCTCAGTAGTTTCTGTTCATAAATAAAATAGGCGTTTAAACCCTGACTTCAGTGTGTCCACAATTTTGAGGCATGGGCCTGCCCTTTTCTTCCCGCCTTCTACCCATAAGCCCTGAAATTGTAGCAGCTTCCACTGGGACCATAAGAACACTTCCATGAACACTTGTCTGTGGACCTCATTCCCCACCCCCTTTGATAGGTGCAGAAAGGATAGCTTCTCTGTGTATGGAAGCATTCAAGATGTGAATTGCTCATAGTGAAGTGTTTAACAGTTGCACTCTTCCTCAGGTGTATGTCCAGCTTGCTAAAGATGATCGGATTCGCTACGACAATGAAATGAGGTCTTGGGAAGAGCAGATGACTGAAGCTGGACGGACCGACCTCATCCGACGCACTGTGAAGCGACTGGGCAAAGGTGCTGAGCGTTAAGATAGAAGACCGGCCTGTCCTTGGGATTAGACACAACCCAGCAAGGTCTCAACACTTCAAGTTGTAAAATTAGAAAGGATAAAGTTGGTAAACATTTGGTGTTCAGTTCCCTTTTCTGTAGCCCATGGATTTCGGCCAGCTGAGTACATTTTTATTAGCGTTTTGAGAGCCGAAATAGATGGAAGTTTCTACAAAGGTCCATTTTGTGTTTAAGAACTACTGAATATGAAAATACACTGTACAGGTTAGTAGTGAATCTTTGCACCTTGATCAGAGCAAACAGACTGAGGTGTGATTCTGGACAATAGCTGTGGCAGCGCTTTTGTTCTCTGTACTGCGAGGTCAGGGGTTCCTTTCATAGCGTTTTGAGAGCCGAAATAGATGGAAGTTTCTACAAAGGTCCATTTTGTATTTAAGAACTACTGAATGAAAATACACTGTACAGGTTAGTAGTGAATCATTGCACCTTGATCAAGGCAAACAGACTGAGGTGTGATTCCGGACAACAGCTGTGGCAGCGCTCTTGTTCTCTGTACTGCGAGGTCAGGGGTTCCTTTCGCAGTCATCCGTGTTCTCTGATGGGCTTGTGTACAAGTCTCAGGTAGTCGTGATGGTTGTACATGCAAATGACGGTGTCAGTAACAGACATTTATAAATCTTTCTGTGTCTTTTTCTTTTTCCCAAAGTAAAAACTAAAAAATCATGTATCAAATCTATGCATATTGTTTATATTGCATAGAATAAAAATTCTAATTTTCTATTTTACATGTTTCTGAATTATGTATTTTAAGGTGAAATATTTGACAGATTTTTTGAGTAGAGAATTTTTTTCTGAGTCACTGCCTCTTCCATGAGAAAATTCACAAAGATTGGCTTGTGTGGTATAAGTTTTTAAATGAGCAATGTCTCCAAAGTTAGAACTCCAAACATTGCCCATCACGTTGGAAGGCCTGCACAGACGAGAGCTGGCTGTGGTATACTGCCAAGTCCAGCCCACAAACTGCTTTTCCAGGTCCTGTGTATTGAGCATTGTATTGGCAGGCTGGAGAGATGGCTCAGTGGGTAGGAATACCACACACCCAACAGCCACATGGCAGCTAACCACCCACATAACTCCAGTTCTACAGGAAAGACTCATATACATAAAAATAAGAAAGAATTGTATTGCTATCTTAAATAGATTTAAAAACAGAAAAAGCTATGAATGCAAGCTAATATAGCTATGAGTTCAAGAACAGCCATGCTGGGATGCAGTCGTGCTCTGGTGGTACTGTGCATGGGTGCTGGCTGCTCCCAGGACAGCAGAGGCTGCTGCAGGGACTGCAGCTGGGAAGCACAGGGCACTTTGGGCCCTTCGCATGCCCGCCCACTTGGGATGTACTGGGGATGCACACGTTGCCACTGTCTGACATCACCGCCTAAGCCAAATGTCCTCAGCACTGCCAAGCAGAGTTTGCCCAGTCTCAAATACTGTGGTAAAAGTAGAGAACTGCATCGTGAGGAACGAAGCTCACATTTACTGTGGCTCAGTGAGAAGAACCTTCGAGAGCTTCCCACGTGGCTCATACTGCAGCCCTGCCAAGCCAGAAGCTGCGACTTTCCAGCCTTGACTTTTCTTTAGAAACAAGCAGTCTGAACAGACACACTTGTCGTGACTTCAAAGATCAGGGTAACTCAGAGCTTCCGTACCTTGTCTTTTAGTCCAGAACGCTTAGAGATCAATACTCCAGACCCCCAGAACACTTGGACGGTTTCTTTTGTTACGGATGGAAAAAGAAGTCACTGAACTTGACAAAGGAAGGAACTGAAGAGACAGATTTATGTATCAGAAGACTAGGGCTGTGGACTGCAGATGTAACGTGGTGGTAGAGCTTGCCTAACGTGCAGGACCTCAGGTTCACTCCTAAGCACTGCAAAAGAAAAAACGTAAACACTAAAGTTGTGAAGTGAAGATGGGTATTTTAATTTTTCCCCTGTGGATTGGGATACAGGCCAAGTCTTTGCCTGGGAAAAATGGACGGCATGAGTTGGAAGCTGAGCAGGGGGAGGGGGCTGGGCCCCCATTCTTTCTCACATAGGTTTCCAGGAGTGACTGAAACCTTAATTGCATTGGCATCTTGAAGGGCACAGATGTGTGTTGTCCTTAGGATAGTGGAGAAGATAGAGCTCGAGTCATTGTCCTGTCCTGTGCTTCAGGCCAGCTCAGGAGCTGACGGGAGCTACCTGATCAGCCATGCAAGCTGCAGCCACAGCACAAGCCAGCCTCCCATTCAGCCTCCTGTGCCGTTAGATTCAAATCTCCCCAGGCGTACTGGTTAGCACGTTCTGAGAACATGCAGCTTCCTGTGAAATGACCCTGGCTAGACCATTTCAGACTGCCTGGCGGAATTTGTCATTGTTAATACTTTGGATTAATCTGCATTCCAAGCCTTTTTAAACAGGAAACGTGGAAGGCTGCTCTTCAAACACCACCTTGTAGCAGCGCACACCAGAAGGCACAGGTTTTCTGTTGCAGAGGATGGAGATCCAAAGTCACACCAGCGGCCGCTCATTAGAGCCTTAGTTTTAAGACTTTTCAACAACAAAGTAGTTGCCCAAAGGAGTGAAAGAAGCCTGTTGGGAAGAGGCTGGAGGTGAGTGGGAGCTGTTCTGCCGCCTCTGCTCTGGAAGGAGGTTTTGTGCCTCTTCTGTTCACTGGGGTGTTGGTGTTGGTTTTGGGGTAGTTCCATGGAGGGCTGTCAGGACTGCTGATGCTCGTCTGATGACCACTCAGCACTGCAAACAGCCTGCTTGCTAAAATAATGTGATTTTGCTCTTCTGGCTAGCTCCTCTTGTGGAAATGACCTTTTCAGAGAGGCAAGTGGTGTTCCTAGTTGTGATGAATCCCAATTGGTATTTCTATACTTTAAGTGGATTTAAAGTAACTATAAAATTTTACTGGCTTTTCTCTCAGCTACTGTGCCTCAAATACATTCCCACCAGGTTGTACTGAGATGGTTTTAACTTAGGTGCAGTGATGGTGTCCATTCATTCCCTCTGTTTTGCCATGTTTACTATAAGAATTTTCTTCCCCTGACAGCAACCCTCCTTTCTCTTAATAGCATTCGGCACCCGCCCATCACTGAGAAACTTGAAAATGCCATTAAGTATAACATGTTGTATGTTTTGAAATTTAAAGCAGTACAGAATTTTTTTATAACCTCTTAAAATGAATAAAAAATTTATTTAAATTTGTAAAACTTCTCAGGCAAAAGTAAAACTGCACGGTCAATATCCTCCATCTCTGATTTTTCACAAAGTATTTTTAGTAATTAAATCACTGATTATATTTATTGTGAAACATGTATTATAAAACCAATCTTTTGTATAGTTCAGAATGCTTACAGAGATAAACTGTAAACAATTTAAATCTGTAAACAATAATTTAAATTTATAACCATAATATCATTAAATCAGCCACATTTGAGACCATGACATAATGGCTTCTGATGTACATGTGATGTACAAGAAAATCAAAAGGGTAATTCCTCGGGGAAAGGAGATGTAAACGGTAGGGGCTTGGCGCACCCTCTAATCCCAGGTGCTCCCGCCCAAAACCTGCTGTTTGCCTTGTGTGGCAGATCACAGTAAAAGCTGGAACAGCTAAAATGCTGTGTAAGATCACATTCAGGTTACATATATAAGGTGTGCAGAAAATAGAAACATTTTGTTCTTAGACTTGAGTTTCACCCTTCAAATATTATGTACATAATATATTATCAAATATATTGATATATCAAATATATACATAAAAATACCCAAATCTGAAGGAAAACTACTCTGAAGTGTGTCTGACGTGCACTCAGGGGTAGGGGCTTTTTTAACTCATGGAGCTCTGGATTCAGTGTCCCCACTGCCAGAGGTGGGGAGGGGACCGTGGGAAAGTGGTTAAGAATCTGGTCAAATGTGATTGAAATCCTGGCTAACCCCCAAAGAACTCTGGGCGAGGACTGCCGTGTGGTGTTTGCTCCTTCCTCAGGTTTGTGGTGGCTCAGTTCACTGTGTTACGTTGCTGTGACAAAGCCCTGTAAACAACTTAGAGGATTTGTTTTGCCTTACGGTTTTGAGATTTTAGGCCACATTCTTTGACTGATGATTCTGGACACAGTGAAGCAGAGACATGGAAGAATACGGAGGAGGGATCTGATCTGTTCATGGCGAACAGAAAGCAGTTGGGGTAGGATCTAGCTCTCAAAGAAACACCCCAGCAACCACTCGGGAAGCTTAGGCCCCACCGTCTTAGGCTGTCACCACCTTCCACGATGGCCCCACCAGCCAGGGGCCAGGCCTTCAACACAGGAGCTCTGAGGGACATGTCACATAGAAACCACAGTACTCGAATCTGTTAGTGCATGTCTAGAAATAAAGACGGGGTCTAGGAGCAAAGCAGGCCAGCTTTCCATCTCCACACCACTCCCTTTCATGGTGTCAGCCTTCATCTGTTGTGTGGTGCCGTGGCTATCGTGTCTCCATACAAGATTGGGATTTTGATTACAGCAACACAAACTTTGAAAACAATCCCTGTTTTCCTTAGGTTTTCCTTAAGGTTTTCTTAGGCGGCTGACCTAAACACGACACTCGGAGTCTTTCTCTTGCATCCTTAAGTTTCTTTCATTTCTGAGGAAGCAGGTCAGTGTTCTCTCTCCTTCCTTACCCTGGCAACTGCCAACCACCCTCCAGTGGCTGTGACTGGGAGGGTTTTTTTTTTAATATTTTTATTTTATGTGTATGAGTGTTATGCCTGCATGTAAGTAAGTGCACCTGTGTCGTGCAGTGCTGTGGAGGTCAGAAGAGACTGTCGGATCCCCTGGGACTGGAGTTACGGACAGTTGTTAGCTGCTATGTGGGTGCTGGCCTTTGAACCCGGGTCCTCTGCAAGAGCAGTCAGTGTTCTTAACTGCTGAGCCATCTCTCCAGCCTCCGTGACTTTGGGATTTTACCTGCCATCTATTTATTGTACTTGTATGTGCTTCTGACCAGTCAGCAGTCAGTTTTCCACTTCAGAAACTCATTTGAATCTGCTCCTCTTTCCCCTTGGTCAGTTTAGCCAAGTTTGCTAATTTGGTGGATTTTTAGGAAAAACCAGGTTGGTTTCATGGATTTTTCTCTTGATTTTCTTCGTTCATGTTTTATTCTCTTCATTCGTTGGGGTACTTTGCCTTTTTTCTGGTGTCATGGGTGGAAGGTTGGGTTCATGAGTCGCCGTTCATATTGTCGGCATTAGAAGTAATGGGTCCCTAGGCACTGCTTAGCCACACCCCGTGTTTAGGTTATGG